CTCGGTGTGACCTAAATGCCATCGCAAGACATGTTGGAGCTCAGTTCTGGGTGAAGTGCTGGCGCTTGAGATTTCTAATAAGATTTTTAAGGTTTTGAAGGATATATATGCAAGTCTATGTTTTCATGCTGTATGGATCAGTTCAGCTCAGGAATCATTCTCCGCCTACTCCTCCTTTGATGTTTTGAGCTGAGGGTGTGTGTTGCAGCCGGGATGTCTTGTTGTAATGCACAGAACATTGAGCAGCCATGTTTCAGCAAGTGCATAACTTTTAAATATAGACATAGCAACTCAGCAACTTCTGTTAGAATTTTAGATTCTGGTTCCCTGTGAGCATCATTCACGAGTTCACAAGGCTTTCCTGGCCGGTGGTGCTGAAAGCAAAAGGAGGAGAGGAGTCTTTTTTTTTTTTAATTTCTGCTTTGTCACAAAGAAAGCTTTTTTTTTCTCTTCTTCTTCTTCTTCTTCTTTAACCTGTGGGGATGTTTCATGTGAGATGTTTGGAGCAGTTAAAAAGATTTCAAAGGCGTTCTGAGGAATTTTTTAAAAGTTAGTAAAGGGAGAAAACGAACTTGCTGATTATTACTTTTTACAGCCAGTACAACTTTTAATGTTGAAGTGCAAGTGAGGATAGAAAGTGTAAAATGTGCATACGTACACAGCTGTGCAGGGGGGGAAATAAAAAGCTCTTTCATGCAAGGGCGATATAGCATGGTGAGGGCAGGGGAGGGTGACTGTTTTGGGGAGGATGAGGGGCAATCGGGTGGGGGGTGGCTGTAACTAGGGCCACCAATAATTTAGAGGGAGAGAGAGAGAGAGAGGAAGAGGGGGTGCTGCAAGGGGAGGAGGGGCAGAAGAGAAGTGGTTGTTGTATGATCAAAGGCTCAGCGAATTGTGTCACAGACAGACGGAGAAGAATGGCGTTGGATGGTGTGACTTGCATTTTGATTTCCTTTGAGAGCCGGGGAGGAATGGGAGGGAGGGAGGGGGTCAGGGTAGGTGGTGGTTGTGGTTTTTAGAAGTAGGGCCCTGTTTTGATCCCATTATCAACTGTTATCAGGTCACTTGCTTGCGCAGGGGACGACCATAAAGGAATAAGAGTAAGAGGAGTAAAAGAAAGTTTTGTGATTCATTTTTATCTTAAGTTTTATTTTTCTTTCCTAAAATATTGTGGAATAATATTGAATAAGAAGTCGCTATTTATTGGTTAATATTAACAAAAGACAGAATGAATCAGTCTTCATGTTGACAGGGGAAATCAGCAGCAAATCAAAAAGCATCCCACGTGAGCAACCACTTCCTCTACAGGTGTTTTTGCAGAGTGAGGGGTTGTGGGGGTTGGGGGGGTGGGGGCTGGCATGGGGGTGTGTCCAGCTTGAGTGACAGGTGGAGTTCAAATCCCCGCCAGGATTTCATTGAGAGTGTGGCCTGTGTAAGGGGATATTCATGTGAAAGGCTGCCTCCCCTAGGGGCAAGACAGGGAGGGCAGAACAAGAGCCCGCCCCCTTGTGGCACTTCGGGGGGCGCCGGATGCCCTTCACCCAAAACCCTGGGTACGGTAGCTAAGTGGAGCAAAGTGGAGCAAGCGGGTGTTTCCAGTGGGCTGAGCTTGTGTGATTTGGGGCCTAGCGGGGAAACCTGGCAGTGTTGGAACACAAGAGGGGATAGTCTCTGTCATTTTGTGTATTTGTGTGTGTGCGCGTGTGTGTGTGTGTGTGTGTGAAGGCACGTTTGCATATGTGCTCATTACTATTTTGTGCGCGCAGCCAGTAACTGTGACCCACTTCACCAGATCACCGTCTCTCTTCCATAGCAAAGCTCCTTTTCCTTTTGCTCCCCCATCCCCAACATCCATCAACGCCTACGTCAACATCTGACAAAAAAGAAAAATCCCTGCGGTGGAGATAATGGTGCAATTGCCAGCCTCTAAAATAACAACATGGTCCACAACAACAACACTGCCCCATTTGGAGTGCAAGAGCCCCCGCACAATGGCCCAGTGTTCAGAACCCGGGGCGCAGGCGGGGCTCCCCGCTGCCATCCAAGCTGTTAGACGAGCAGGAGAGAGAGGTCATAATCACACAGCGAGCAGCGCTCCACTTCCTGGTCCTCCTTTAAATGGACTGAGACAGATTCAGCCTCTCTTTAGATCCTCCTACACTTGCTCTTTGTGCTTCCTCCCCAACAGCATCTCACAAAGTGTTACCTCAGTTGACTGGGATGTGCTGGTATGCACCGGAGAGTTGTTACAGTTTATAGAACCACGATATGTGGGAGGAGCAAGTCAGGATATGCAGGTTGAATGGGGCTACGCTCTTTTATCTTTGTCTTTCCCTTCAATTTTGGCGTCCTCCAAAGGCTGAGAGGGAGAGCGCGCTCTGAAATTATCATACCAAATGTGTATGTAATGTATACCTGCGCTGCCTCCCCGTTCCTGTCGGCCCTAGGCTACCATCTATCTTACAAACAGTCATCCAGAGCGCAGCGTCTCTCTGTATGTATGTATGTTTACAAGAGAAAAGGAAGCTTTGAGAAAATGCGTAGTGAATCTGTGAAATGCAGGCGGACAAGGTGACTGCATCCTGCGGTTTTGTGAAAAGGTGTTTTGAGGCAGAGCAGCCTTGCTCCACCATGACCTCCTCATTGGTTTTCCTTGCTCTCCTGTGAGAATGATCCATTTTGTTTCGAAGGACAAGCGTTGTGATTGAAAATCAGAGCGCAATCTCTCACGTTTTGGCATACTCGTGTGTGTGTGTGTGTGTGTGTGTGTGTGTGAGGGAGGCCTGAGGAGGAGGATTCAAGGAATGAACCTCCTTTTTCTCTGAAGGTGCAATTCAGAATCTATGAGAAAATGTATGTGGCAAGTGTAAGCCTGTGAGAGAGAGAGAGTGTGTGTGTGTGTGTGCGTGTGTGCGTGTGCCTTTGGTCTTAAAGTTCCCTTAAAGGCATATGATTTCTCCAATTCAGCATCTACTATCAAGGCGGAAAGAGCAGTCACAGAGCGGCACACGTTGTCCGCATTCCTTCCCTATGATTCGTCCGTATTCCACCTGATTTGCATTTTAACCCCCTTACTCTCAGCTACGTCCTCCCCCCCAAAAAAAACCCCTCAGGTCAGGGGCTTGACCCCTCGGCCTTGTGGCACTGAAGTGACTCGGGCGCCTTCTGAATCTCTCTTCAATTGGCCTGCTGCACGACTAACCTGCTCCCAACGTGATGAAGTGGGGTTCAAAGGTCGGGGGTCACCAGAGGGAGAACGGTATCTCGGGTCATCAGCAGTGGCCAAGGGCTCGGCGCCACAGTTCTGGTTGATTGGGGTGTTGTGGTCATTGGGTTAATAGGATAAGTGGCCTGCAGGTCAGTTTGGCCCAGTTCTAATGCTAATACAGGAGCTTGTCTTTGCACCGTTGCCAGGGTGGGGATTGGATCCAGGATTGTGGAGCTCTACTTGGTTACAGTTTTAATCCAGCCTTGTTTGAGCTGGTCATTATTTACTGCTGGTGAATTTGCTGACAGCTGCAGTTGTCCTTTTACCTATTTGCTTTTGTTTCATTTTTGGTTTGTTTGCATGGTTCATGTCTTTTATTGCACTGTTCACTTCCAGTGATTGCCTGCTGTGATTGTTAAGGTTATCTGTTAAAGGTCCCATATTGTAAACAGTAAGATTTCCATGTCTTTTTTGATTATAAAGCAGGTTTAGGTTCTATATTAATACTGTGAAAGTATCAAAGCGCTCAGTCCACAGAGAAATGCTCACAGCCCGTATTCAGAAACTGAGCCTAGAAATGAGCTGTCAGGACTTCCTTTACTTTGTGATGTCACAAAAAGCAGTCACAGCTCGCATGCTCCTGGCCCCACCCACCTGGACCCAGCATCCAACCTAGCAGGATTTGGTTTCTCTGAGCGTTTACCTGAAATCTTCAATATTTTTATTGAATCACTCAGAAAACAGTAAAATCTAGTTTTACTAGAGCTCCAGAGATTATTAGATAAAAGTCTCTTGTTGTCAAAATGTGGAACACAGATTTCTTTTTAAATTCTTGTCTTACACTTAGCTATTCTCTAGACTTCTTCATCGTCTTCCCAGATAACTCAGGTCAAGTAACGGAAGTGCTTTGAGATTAAAGCTACAAGATAAATGTTTCTGTTAGTTTGCAAGTAAGGAAGCTGCCACCTCTTTCTTTTTTTCTTTTTTGGGCCCAGTGAGTGAGTCACTGTTTGTGATGTCTGCCATCCTTTAGCTTTAATCTTCTCTAAAGACGTCGTCTAGCCGCTGGGTGTGCAGAGCTTTTTTGGCACAGACAACTGGGCCAATTTAGTGGTCTAAAGTGTAATGAGAGGACAACTCAAGATAGTCTGATAGACCCTAATGTAATTGTGTGTGTGTGTGTGTATGTGTGTGTGTTTGCACTGGTGTGAAACGTCAGCATCCACTTTTTTTTTTTTTAATTGAAGAAGTGAAAATAAAATGTATTCAGTCATTGTGCCTGTATGTGCAAACGCAACAGAAATGTCAGCAACATTAATCAATTCTCAGCAGTAATAGAAGCAGAATTAATGCACCTTCCCTTAAGTAGAAATTCAATGAAAATCTGCCTCCTTTGCAGATCCATGGAAGTACACAAGTCCCAGCTCTGCTTATCTGCTGTACATGTGCTTAGATGCTGCAAGATTTTTGCCGCACACAGCGAATACTTCAGAGACGTTTAATGCTCTTAAACTCTTATGTTTGTTTATCTTCATTATGGAAAATAAGTGACAAGTGGATTATAATTTTTTAGAATTTAAAAAAGGTTGGTGGTGGTGGAGGTGGTGGTATCCAAAAGAGATTAGTTCAACTTTAAACCAGTGGTTTACGCCACACCTGGAGCAAATCCGTGACCCTGACACTGGAAACACTGCACAGTTTTACACATGACAAGGTTTCCCCCTGATCACCTGTGAGAAGAATAGTGACTCAGTAGCTTTGATATTAATGCTTTTCACCTTTGTCTTTCCAGATGCATCCTTTGGGACTATGTAATAATAACGATGAGGAGGACCTGTACGAGTACGGCTGGGTCGGAGTGGTGAAGCTGGAGCAACCGGAGCTGGACCCTAGTTGTCTCACCGTGCTGGGAAAGGTAAAGACCTGGTCGCTTACTCTTCTCAAGTCACTGTGTAGTGTCGATCAATAACTACATTTCCCCACTGGTCATTTTGTATTTACCCACCGATGTACACGAGTTAATCTTCAGAAAACTAATAGCACCGGAGCTCTGTACAGATTAAACAACAGCTTAAACTCTTCACAAGAGGTCAGAGGGAAACGTGCACCACGCTCCCGACGACGCGTATCAATCTGCGCTCGCATAAAAAAACAACTCCATGTGCGCGCAGGTTGACGTGACGCCCTGCGCTACTACAGCTGAAACCATGTTTGTGGTATTAAAACTCTCATCCATTGCCTAATGGAAGATTGTCTGGTCATATTCAAGCTAAAAAATCTAATAGTTCTCAAGACCCAGAACAATTTCCACATCTTGGGACATGAATACACTGGAAGAATTATAATTGGACCACTGTTTGCCTGTAAACACAATCTTTTAAAATCTTAAGGGTACTGATGAAAATAGACAACAACACTATCAGGTGTATTGAATGTTAGTGCACGATATTTTTGGCTCCATGAGCGACAAGCAGAAATGTGCAGACAGCATGGTGTGTGTGTGTGTGTGTGTGTGTGTGTGTGTGTGTGTGTGTGTGTGTGTGTGTGTGTGTGTGTGTGTGTGTGTGTGTATATACAGATAGTTCCCTCTGCTACACTCACGTTAAGGAAAATTCTTTCCCTTTTACTTAATTAAAACCCTTTAAAGAATTTATCTTTGATCTTTTGTAGTCACAGAAACAATTCACGGAAGGATGATTTTGTTTTATTTTGTTCCTCACTTCCCATCGCTGGGAGAATAAGGGTGAACTGAATCCCTCCCTTGTCTCTCACCGCCCACCCCCTCGTCTCCGTCCCCCCCTCCCTCCTCCAGTGCCCAGTCCCCTCTGGAGTCTCCGAGTGGTATTTTATCATGCTTTAATTAAGTGTTCCTCTTAATGGAATGTACCAACATTCCCCGGAGGATGAAGGGGGGGGGGGTGTTGGTGGATGGTGGCTATAGTCTCATTTATCCCGTGCATGCCTGGTGACAGAAAGAGAGCAGCCATTCATAATTTAAGGAGCCCTTGTACTGTATAGACATGCTAATGGTGCACTTTCATTGGTGATGGTTGCCGTTACCTAGCTGATGCATACTTGTGCTGAGGCCTTATGTTCAGCGCTCAAACTTCTCTGCTACTGCAGCCAAGAATATACCGTTGTCATGTAAATGGTCTTTATTGATAGTGATGCGTGATGTTCGAGGAGCAGTTAACAGTTCCAGAGGGAAACCAAATGGTTTAACTTGTTGTTTACCACTTATCACTAAGGTAATTGTCATGGGACCAGTATCCCTGTAGGACACTACATGATTGTTAATGGTAGGTAGTGAATCTTTAAAGGTCTCATATTTTTTTTAATATAAAGCAGGTCTAGGTTCTATATTAATACTGTGAAAGTATCAAAGCGCAGGGATCCACAGGGAAATGCACACAGCCTGTATTCAGAAACTGAGCCCTAAAACGAGCCGTCAGAACTTGTGTAACTTTGTGATGTCACAACAAAGCCGCCATGCCCCTAGCCCAGCCCACCAGGTGTTTACCTGAAACCTGCTATATTTTTATTCAGTCACTCACAAAACAGTCAGCCAGAAGAGAGGCTCAGAGCCCCCTCTTCTGATTGGTTGACTGTTTCCTCAAGGACTACAAGTTTGAAAATGAACAAAAATCTGTGTGATGAATAAGTAGAAACAAGTGACCTCTGTAGCCCACCAGGATACATTAGCCGCTACTGATGTAACACACCCAAACTTCTGACTGAGCAGTTGCCGGTTGATGATGGTTGCATTGTGGGTGATGTAGGCGCCAGGGTTTGACAAGGAAGAATAATGCGTGGAATAAAAGTGTAACAGGAGTGCAGTGCAGTGCAGCACCTGCCTTCGATAGGATGTCAAACCACTGTTCAGTTGTTGTTATGAGATTACTGAGACGGGATAGACGGGATAGACGGGGTGATATGTGATCAGGCCGCATTCAGATCCAGAATGTTGTGGGTCCATGTTCCTCCGCCAGCTGAGCCACGAGGACACCCTGAGCACCAGAAACCCACACCTTCCGCTCAGTGGAACCCGTCAAAGCAGAGTGCTAATGAGCCGGCCATTTTTTATACATTCTGGGTTTGATGTTTTGCTAAGGGACACTGTAGTGAGGATGGCAGGAACCTTGGCCTGTGACCTTTTGGCCTCCAGCCAGCCTCCCTAACCTCTAGACCACTCTGCTTCCTCTGTGTTTATTCAGCCAGGACTATAATTAGAGGAGGGAAAGCCCATTGTTGCATCTTGACAGACCCTCGCCCGGGGCCCGAACACAGCTGGGTGCTTTGTGTTGGCACTGCCGCTTTTGCCAGGCCAGACAGTGCAGTGTTTACCCCCTGCCAGTCTGCTTACTCTGCCCAGCCAGCCAGGTCACCGTGCCCAGCCCTAGTCCGGATACTATGCCCACTCTTACACACTCACCCCGCCTGGTCTGGCCTCATGCTCTGCCCCCGCCCGCCCCCTGCCCCCCCTCACCACCCCCCAACGCCTCTCCCGCCTTACCCGACTGGCCCCTGACTGAACCCAAGAGCCCACTCCACTTTGCTGCCACTTTGCCACCAACAGTGTTGGGGTCTTGTCTGGTCAATTTAGATTCCATTCAATTACAGAATCCCAGTGAACGCACAAAACAGAATTGTAGGAGGAAAAAAAAAAAAAATGCTGTTTACTCTAATCCATGTCTAAATATAAAGTGTCTGGGAACACAAGGCCCCCAGCTGTGTTTAGGAGCTGGTCAACACGTAGCAATGGGCATTCCTTGCTCTATTTAGAGTTGGCTGTATGCTCAGAAGAGGCTTGCATTTATTTTACAAGTCCAATAGTAAGTGGCTCGTGCACATGGTCATGCAGATAGTTTTTAAAGCAGAAAAATGAATGCTAAAGCAAAAGATGTGAGCTATCATCTCCACTCTCCGCAGGGTAGATTTTCTTTCCAGTTTTCTGCAGCTCTTGCCATAATTTCAGAGCTGCTGACTATATTGATCCCTCTAGAGCGATGCTGAGCCCCCAGCTGCTACTACACACTCTTGGTACTGTGAAGCTTCTGTTTTGGTTTTGGTATTCGTCGTCTGAACATTTCCTTACTTTTGGCCTATTCTACACATCTAATTCTACACACTTTTATACTGTTTTTGTCATCGGTGCAATTTTAACTTGCACTTAATTACCCGGCTGAGTGTCTTCAGGCCGCTCTCACTGTCGCAGAGAGATGCTCTGACATCAGCAAATATTACCCGTAGAGGAAGAGGAGGAAGAGAGGTCGGTCACGGCGGCCTCTGAAGTCCGCGTGCAAACCTCACCAAAGCGCTGGCGTGTCATATATATGTACACAGTTTTTTCCTGCACTTCCTGTCTGGTTCCTTTGAGAGCTGCAGGACTGTTAAACCTCTGACCTCAGTGTGCCACAGCAGGAGCCCCTCCCCCCCCCAGCAGCAGGACAAACCAAGAGCAAATCAGTTCCTACTGTAGCCAGCTGTGTTTGAGACTTTCTTTGAGGCGGTGGTTTGGTCGTCTGAGTTACGGTGTCATTTGAGGATGACACTGGAAGGTGCCCCCGGTGTCAGCGGGACACAGTTGCAAGTAATTGCTTCTCCTTAGTTACGGCTTATCAAGTCTCTGCTTTCTCTGAGGTGTTAGTAAATGTTGTAAATCATGCTCACACCTCTGCAGACATTTATCTGTTCTCAAGTTGAACTATTTATTGCGGTCAGTAACATATTCTTGGTTGTCATTTCCTCCCCGCTGCTCGACTTTCTCAGAACTGGCGTCCCTCCCTTCTTTCTCCACACTGTCTTTCACATACATACACTGCGATTTTTGGCAGCTTCTCTGGAACATGAAATCATGCCACTGGCTTTCGGGCTGGTCGGGGTCTTTGTCGCCGCGCCAGGGAGATATCTCTTCTTTCAAGTATCGCAGTGTCAGTCCAGTGGCCACACAGGGCCTTAGCACGGCGGCTTTTCCCCTTTCATCCTGCCCCGGGGCTCTCATGACATCAGCCACTAACCCAGGCAACCAGGGGAGGAACTGCAGAAGAGTGGGAGTTAGAGGGGAGAGAAAGAGGTTGGGGGGGGCTTGGCTTTTCGAGGAGATGACGAAGGCGAATGGGTCTGGTTTGGTAAGTGGGCGGCTGGGATTCGTGTCTCGCTTGGTACAACTTTTTTTTTTTTTTTTTTTTTGTATGCACATAAGCAGAAAAATGCGACCCATCCTCCCACACAGCCCTGCAGCTTGTGTGTAAAGCAAGCCTCTTGGCTGGCATAGCATGTAAAACTCCCTGGTATGTGCTTGTTGTGTGTGTGGCCTGGCGCTGCCCTTGACCAGCTCGTCTCTGAACCGCGATCAGTTCCACCTTAAACGCCGGCCAAAGACAACATTTCATTGCAGCGGAGCATAACTGCGCCGAGACCGGCTGCTGCGAAGCACTTAAAAATAACTCGAGCAACAAGAAAAGTTTCAAGATCTTTATTGACATATCCTCCCAGAAATAAAGCGAGCTGCTTTAAAGTTTTTGCCAGAGGCACACAACCATAAAAAGTGTATCCTGTGTGGGAAGTTCTGTCTTTTGACACACATACAAACACAATCCTGAAACCACAGTTGCCATGGAACAATGTGAGCGGGCAGAGGATCGTGTCTCTGTGTCTCTTTCTACCGTGGCCCTCACATTGGCACTATAGGACGGCAGGCCAGAGCAAACAGCTGCTGTGTCTTAGTGCTAAGTGGCTTTTGGACTCTAACCGTGTCTGGCATCTCAGCCAGAGCTGTAGCGAGGGTGCAGTGTGTGTGTGTGTGTGCGCATGTGTGTGTGTGTGTGTGTGTGTGTGTGTGTGTGTGTGTGTGTGTGTGTGTGTGTGTGCACGCTGGCGGCGAGAGGAATGATGGGGATATATAAAGTACACAAC